CCTGTGCTTTGGCTTCTCTGCGCTCCAGTGCAATTTTCAGAGTCTCTTCTGACATCCATTTTGGTCTTTTCTTCCTCTTCTGTCTTTGCAATGACCCATTTTAATTTGTTTTTAAAATTGGACTGGTGTGTACGTATCCAGAATATATATGCATTTTGGAAGAGTTTTAACCGTAGTCTACATACCACATTTAAAGTCTTTATAGAGTATCTTTTAAACTGCAATTCAGGCTTTTTGAATGTCTGTTAAGTAGCATATGTTTTCATACCCTGTTTAAACTGAGTTAATATTATAGTGTTAATAATGACTGGCAACATACCTGAATTCTAGTATTAATGTAATACTAAAACATGGTGGGAGTTCTTGTGGAGATCATTGTAATTTAAGTTCTAATGCCTTTGTATTTCAACTATCAATTACCTGTTTATCTGTTTGTGTCATATGATTTCTGTCTTAAAGAACAACTTTGCAAGAGTTTATCCTGCCTTCTCCTCCTCTTTAGTTTTTTTCCTACCTCTATAGTTTATTACTGTAAAATTATAATGGATAGTAGCTCAGACTTTGGAGCAGAACTTGCTCCCTTACTACTCATTAGACTAGAGGGATATCTTTACATGCTTTTTAATACCTCTGTGCCTCTGTTTCCCTTTTTGAAATGAAAAGATAATACTTTTTATAATAACAAGGTTATTATTAGGATTAAACATACTGTAACATTTAGAACATTATCTGGCTCATGGTAACTATTAAATAAATGTTTGACGGCCATTAAGATTACTACCTCTGATTATTGTGAGATAAGAATAAGGATGGCACATATGTTTCATCCTCCCTCTTGTCAATTTGATCTATTACTATTGGCTTCCTGAAGTGTTATGTTGAAAGATTTAGGCTAAAGATGACTGTGATTTTTTCTGCCTTGGATAAGAAGAAAGGAACACTTGTGTCAGGTAATTACCATACTTGTCCAAAATCACATTATTGTTTCATGTTTTAGCAGGCAGTGTAGTTCAGTTTATTTTAATTTTCTAAGTAATTTTTTTATTTTCTAAACAATTTTATTTATCTTATGAATAGTTTAATTTAAAACTCTTACATTGTAGGTGGGTTTTTAAAAAATGTTTTTGTCAACTTTAACAAGTCCTGTTACCTCTCTGAGCTCTTGTTTTTCGCTTGTGAAACAATTGGGTAAACTCTTAGGCAGGGAAGGAAACTGAGACAAGTAAAGTTCTGAAAAATAAAAGGAATGATGGTGTAAAAAATTGGGAATATGAGACTTTTTAAAAATTCTTTTTGTTATTATTATTATTAATTTTAATGAACATTTACAGAGATTTTGAATTTCCATTCATTCATTGTTGCACTTTGTTCCCTGTCCGCCCCGCCCCCCTTTGCTCTTCTCTTTGAAAAGTAAAATTCCTTCACTGGTATACAATCCCCCTGCACCTCCCCACCCCCACCCTGAACATTCTCCACTCTGCAACCTTGCTTCTGGACTCTTATGATAATCATAATACCTTATAATATATTGCTTTTAAATCATTTCAATGCCGTACACATAATTTTTCCAGTTTTTCTCATTCTTACCCCAACCCTGATGGCAGTCCCATACTACAGCAGTGGTTCTATGCAATGTATGTCCTTTTGTGACTGAGATATTTCACTCAGCATAATGTCTTCCAGAGTCACCCATTTTGAATAATATTGCAAGAGTTCCTTGTTTTTCAATGCAGCATAGTATTCCATTGTGTGAATATACCACAGTTTCTCTATCCATTCATTTGTTGATGGACACTTAGGTTGTTTCCAGCTCGTTGCTATTGTGAACAAAGCAGTGATAAACATAAGTGTGCATATATCTGCTTGGTTGGCGGTTATGGTCTCTTTAGAGTATATTCCCAGTAGTGGAATTGCTGGGTCAAATGGTATCTCTCTTTGCAACTTTTTGAGAAAGCACCATGCCCGCTTTCCACAGTGGTTGCACCATTTTACACTCTCACCATCAGTGAATAAGAGTTCCAGTCTCTGCAACCTCGCTGGCATTTGTTGCTTAGTGTTCTGTTAAATTTTGCTAGTCTTACTGGGTTGAGATGATATCTCATAGTTGTCTTGATTTGCATCTCTCTTAGAGCTGAAGAGAAGTTTTTAAAGTTAATACCAGCTGCTGTGCTCTTTGATGATCAGAATGATTAAATGACTTAAGATTTTACTCTGTATGGCTATTTATTAGCATAATTACTTGACTGAAAGGTAACAAAAATGTGTTCAGTCTTCTCACCCTTTTCCTTTTGTAGGTATTACTCGTTCTCTGTGAGCTCCAGTGTCTGACAATCCTTCTAACATGGTACTCTAGCATACTATTGCTAATGAACCAGGAATTAAAAACTAATTGCCTACAAGATTTAGAAAATTTTTTTTTTCAAGTTTGATACTGCTTAATGTTAACATTGCTACAAATCTCTTATTTCTTATCTCAGATGTTGTGTATTAAAAATTCTAATCTGACCATTTGCTAATTTGCCCTTTAAAAAAGGCGCTCTGTCAGTTCAGCAAACTTGTGATGATGTTACTATTTCTGTTATAGGAATTTTTATAATTTTATAGTAAAGAGTAATGCCATACATTATTATAAAAAGAATTACAATACCCATCTTCTCTTTATTCTTATTACAGACAGAAGCTGCATGGGCTGAAGAATATGCTGAAAAAAAAAAAGGGTCTCACAAACGTTCAGCTTCCTGGGGCAGTACAGATCAACTAAAAGAGGTTAGGAAACTGGTTCCAAGAAAATGAGTGTTGAAACAATGTGAGAACTTTGTAATCGCTGTCACAGTCTTCTCTATAAAGTTCACTCAAATCACAATAAAAAGCTTTAAAAAAAAGAGATGTATCTGTTCACTGCTTCCCTGATTATGTAGGCAAGGAATAGCAGATATATAAAATTATAATAATAGCAACAAATGGACATTTTGTATTTCCACATAATAATGTTTCTGAAATTTAGAAATCTAATACTGTTAAATACCTTATAGCACTATGCTATTAGAAACTACCATTTTCAGTGGGTGTAATAATTAGATTTGTGTTTTACATAAAAGGAAGAAATAAAAGATTAGTCAGGGAATACTAGGAATAGGAAATTCATTGAAATTGTATTTTTTTTTAGATTGTATCTGTGAATAAATTTCAGGCTCTGAATTTATATTTTATATTTGTTGTTGAGTTGCATTAATTTTTAAGTCTATTTTAATTTTTGGAGTTGTTGAGAATTAGATGTTTGATTTAAAAAATTAAAGTCCAGATAGAAGTTCAGTTTCATTGTAAGGGCAACAATGTTAACTGTCATTATTTTTCATTCTTTGTGAAACCTATAATATGACTTATGTAATGTGTTGAAACATTTATTTAGGACTTAGGAAACATGAAGATTTAGAACAGTGTTGGATTAATAATCTGTTTCTCCTTAAACAAATATCTGTGCCTACATATATACGTATGTGAGAGTATGTATGTAATTTAAAAGCATTTGGTCAAAATCTGATACGCTTTATCAAAGGCCTTGTTCTGGCTAATTTTACTGATTATTATTTTTAAATGAGAATCTGTCTTTTTTTTTTTAATATTTTTTTATTTTATATTTTATTGTTTTTGTGTGCGTGTACCATCAAATCAGATCTGACTGGTACAGGAGGAGATTGCCCCTCCTTCCCCGGCAGAGCATCTGGTGGATTCGAACCGTGAACCTCTGGGATTGTAGTTGCACCTTCTTGCCGCTAGGCCACCAGAGCTCCCCGAGAATCTGTCTTAATATACTGTGGAAAATATCCTCTCACACTTGTCATTTTTACTTTTCAGATTGCAAAATTACGTCAGCAGTTACAGAGAAGTAAACATAGCAGTCGTCATCATCGAGATAAAGAAAGACAGTCTCCATTCCATGGCAACCATGCAGCTATTAACCAGTGTCAGGTAGGAACAAAATACTACATAGTTGAGACAAGGGGCTTGTTTTTTTTGTGATGACTTATTTATTTTTATGTTTGTAATTGGTTTTCATACAATAACTCACTTATATTGTGTTTTATTCATATACACTATATATATTGTGTTTCTTACAATCCCTCATTTACTTTGTGTTTAATATAATCATTCATATATACTATATCTCATAAACTTAATTACCATTGAGTAATTAAAGTAAGAGTACTAACAGATTTTTATATAGTTCTGAAATTTACAAAGATTAACATTTTGCACAAATCTTGACAGATGGTCTTAGATTACTTTCTTTTTTATTTATTTATTTAGTTTTTTTGTTTTCTTTATTTTATTTTTATTGGGATTTGTTGAGTGTGTACCGTCAAATCGGATCTGACTGGTACAGGAGGAGATTGTTCTCCTTCTCTAGCAGAGCATATGGTGGATTTGAACCACGCACCTCTGAGATTGCAGTGCAGCTTCCTGCCACTAGGCCACCAGAGCTCCCCAGATTGCTTTCTTTTAAGAGTCTCCTTCCTCATTACTGTACTGTACCCTTATAAACCAAATGCTTAACTGAAATTAGAACATGACATCCAGTTGAAGCAAGCTATACTGTATGTTATTTTGTGGCAATTTCAAGAAAAAATTAACTTTCAAACTTAATACCTTTTCACTCATTAATACATATTTTTAGTACATGCACTAACTTCTGAGATCTATCTTAGTCTACACATCAGTTCCCTGTCACATTATTTCCTGATACCAAAAGATTTGAGGCAGAGGCTAGATGACTTGAGACAGAAATGTTAAAAAGTGCTCTCCTGTTCCAGACTAGTGAGCTGTTAAGTCACTTTTAACCCTTAACTTTTTCAGTCTGGATTAGTTCTCTGTCACCTCATTATTTCTCTATTTCTTTTGTTACTATCTTGAGAAAACTTTTTTGTCTTCCTTGACACATCAGGGACCAAGAATCATCTTAGTATCACTCTTACATCGTTTTATCCATGTAGTACATATCTTAATGGGAGAGTTTTAAAAAGCCCTCTGAGGGAATCCTGGTAACACCATGGCTAAAACACTTGCCTGTACTTAGACCACAGTGAATGATTTGTGATTTGAATCCAGGATCTGTGCTGCAGGAGAAATATGGGGCAGTCTGCTGCTATAAAATAGCTTTTTTGGAACCTGTATAGGATAGTTCGATTCTGACCTGTAGGATTTCGTTGAATTAGAATGATCTCAAGTCAGTCGCAGTAGGTTATGATTTTGTTTGTTTTTCAAGTTTGATGTCCTTTAGTGATACAGTCCATACTGGGTTGCACTGTTAAAAAGTGGCACCTGTATGGGGGTTCAGATCTACCAGCAGCTCCTTAGGAGAAAAACTGGACATTGTTCTCCAATGAGATTTATAGCTTTTGAAAACCCACTAGAGAGTTGGCTTTGAATTAGTTCCAAATCAATGGCACTGAGATTGAGTTTTGTCATAATAATCCTGTGTACAGCAGATTGAAACCTTGCCTAGTCATGCATCATTCTTATATCATGGTTGCGTTCACTGTGTCAGCAAGTCTCATTGGGGGGTTCCTCTCCTTTTCTGCTTACATTTCTAAGTCTGATGTCCCTCTCTAAGGACTGGGCTCTCCTGATAACATACTCAAAGTATATGAAACAATGGTTCCTTGCTTCTAAGGAAGTCTTTGTCTGTATGGCTTCCAGGATAGAATTGAGTGTTCTTTTGATAGTCTGTTATACATACTCTCTTCCACAGACACAATTCAAATACATCAGTTCTTTGGTCTTCTTTATTCACTTACCAATTTTCACATGTATTTTAAGCAACTTACAATATCATGGCTTGGAGAAGGTGCACCTTGCTCATTAGCACTCTAAAGAAGTCCTTGACCACATATTTGCTCAGTAAAATATATTGTTTTATTTCTTGATTGTTGCGTCCATTGGCAACAATGGATTCAAGTGAAATGAAATAATTTTTTTTATTATTATTAAATTTTATTAATTTTAATGAACATTTACAGGGATTTTGGGTCTTCACTCCTTCACTGCTGCACCATTTTCTCTACCCTCCTCCCCAGTTTGTTGTTCTTCCCCCGCCATCCGAATGTCTGTTTTAATTGTCCAATTGTCACAGTGCTTGTCAAAGTCAGTTCTGATTAATCT